GGAGTCACAGACTGAAACAGGCTCCAGGCTCTGAGCTGGCAGTCAGCACAGAGCCCGACGCGGGGCTCGAACCCACGAACCGCGAGATCATGACCTAAGCGAAAGTCGGACGCTTAACCGACTGAGCCACCCAGGCGCCCCAACAAGGGTCTTGTTTTAAACTAACTAGGTTAATTTTCTCATGACAAGGCTCTATAAACCATCAGGAAGAAGGGAGGTGATTTTAGGGGTGATAGGGATCCATTCCCATGAGGCAGAGCTAAAGTCAGAGCCTCCAGAACCTTCTTCTGGGGTCAGCAGTCAGTCCTGCCCCAGGGCCAATGACTAAATCAGGTTTCAAGTTCCAAGTGTACAACGAGGTTTTCACATCCAGTTTTGCATTTTCTAGGTTTCCTTGTACCTGAAAAAGGGTCACAAACAGCATTGTGATTCCTCAGCCTGAAACCCAGTCAGGCTGTCAGTCTCTTTGGGCAAAAACCTTTGCAAAAGCCTTTGCAGAGAGCTCCGAACAGCTGTGACTCATCTGGGTGGGGATGTGGGGCTGTTTTCCTGACAAAGGTGTGGTGTGAGGGTCTGCGTAGATGGGGTCGTTGAGTGTCCAGGGCTTGGGGACGGGTAGTCTTGGGTGGCTTGTGGCATGTGGAGCTGTTTCTAGTCTACCCCGTCCAGTATTGGAGATGGAATTGGTCAGGGATTAGGAGTCAGCTAGGGCAGAAGGCGGAGACTTCTTCCACTCCTTTGGGGGGAGGTGGATGGAAAAGAAGAGTCTGTTGAGGGTGGAGAATGTAGGACTGGTGGTGTTTACAAGGTTAGTGTTTACACTGCTGCATAAAGTGTGCGTCTAAAATGCCATTGTCCCAGGATCACTGGGGAGGTGACTGGCTGTGCCCCTCTTACCCCCAAGCTTGGCATGTTACCATGCCTTGTCTCACATTCTAAATACAAGCAGTCACACCCATGTGCGCGTGTGAGCGTGTGTGTGTGTGCATGTGTGTGTCTGTTTGCGTGTGTGTCCAGACAGGGCAGAGAGCTTTATGATAGGGTCATCATCAGACTTTTTATTTTTAATGTTTTATATCTTTTTGAGAGAGGCCAAACAGGGGAGGGGCACAGACGGAGAGGGGGACAGAGGATCCCAAGTGGGATCTGTGCTGATGGACTGACAGCAGTGAGCCCGATGTGGGACTCGAACTCATGAACCACGAGATCATGACCTGAGCCAAAGTCGATACTTAACTGACTGGGCCACCCAGGTGCCCCAGTCATCAGACCTTATAGCTGGTTTTTCCCTGTCCCTCAAAGTCTCTCCCCAAAGAACCACGAGGAACAGGTACTATAGGTTGTATAGGGCACTTTATGCCAAAGATACAGATACACATACAGATAAATATACATTTTTTCTACATAAATGACACTTTCATGTTTTTGGTAAGCCAGACCAGGTAAGACAAGAACAATTTGCTGTTGCTAAGAAATTATGAGAAACCTGAAAGTTGGGGCACCTGGGTGGCTCAGTTGGTTAAGCATCTGACTTTGGCTCAGGTCATGATCTCATGGTTTGTGGGTTTGAGCCCCACGCCGGGCTCTGTACTGACAGCTCAGAGCCTGGAGCCTGCTTTGGATTCTGTGTCTCCCTCTCTCTCTCACCCTTCCCCAGCTTGTGCTCTCTCTCTCTCTCTCTCAATAGTAAATAAATAAACTTTAAAAATTATATCTAAAAATGAAAGCTGAAAGTGAATTTCCCATTTCATCATCTGACAAACTGACTGCAGGGTTCTGCATGCTGGGGACAGACAGGTCTAGTGTGTGTCCTGCACTTGGTCACCGCCTGGGAAGAGCTGAGCATTTGCAGGAGGAATGTACAGAGCCAACGACTCTTCACCGTCCCATTTAGGATGGTTTGTGGGGGAGGGGGAGGTTGGTTCATTTCTCATAGTATCAAGTGGATTTGAAAAGGCGGGACACCGTAGAATATAAGGCGTTTGGGAAGATAGTCAAGATAGTGGAGAAATAAATGCAAAACACGTCAGTAGTCATGATAATAGTATTATTCCCAGTGGCATCATAAACTTTCAGCCGTGCCCTGAAAAATGTGGCATCCTTCGTGCAGAGCGACTAATGCCAGAGACCGAAGGACATGTCTTAGCATTTTCCCGGTGACCCGCAATGACCCTTTACCATCCCAGAGGTAAGAGCTAGTGTTATAACTCACCGTCCCCGTAAATCCTCATGATGGAGACGATATTGACTTGTTTTTACAAGTCCTTGTCATCCGAGAGAGGCTATAGCACTTCTGTTTGTTTATTGTTTTCACTAACCGTAATTTTTGCTGAGAGCCTCCTGCGTGTAGGCTCCTCGAATTCACCATCTTATTTAATCCTCTCTTGCCTGTGAGGGACAAGTACTGTCCGTATCCTATTTTATTTAGGAAACTGAGGCTTAGGGAGATTAACTGACTTGTCTCAGATCACACAGGTAGAGGGCCCGAGCCTTGACCCAGGTCCCACGTGGTTGGCCTGCCAATGCCACATGTGACATCTGGGCTTGGGGTGAGGGGGCGAGGGGACAGGTGTGTCACAGCCCATGCAGACCCAGGGCTGGATCCTGTCTTCATTGAATGTTTTCATCTTTGGCTCATTAAAGATTTTCTTTGCATTAATTTTGCCCCCTTAACAACATTGTGTTGGGAGTATTATTTATCTCGATCACTGGGCTTTTCAGCACTCAAGGCCAGGCATAGTCATCTCTACTTTGCAGGTGAGGACAAGACAGTGGGCGAGGTCCAGAATCCGTAAGAGTTCTCGTGGCTGAAAGGGAAGGAGTTGGGATATTCACCAGGGCTTCTGGGAGCAGGCTGGAGGGGGCAGTGTCACTTACCTGTGGGCGTCACAGAGTTCTCAGGAACGTGCCTCTCTTCTTCCAGGTCGGGAAAGAGGTTGAAGAAGACCCGCAAATATGACATCATCACTACTCCAGCCGAGCGAGTGGAAATGGCCCCGCTGAATGAAGAAGATGATGAGGATGAGGACTCCACAGTGTTTGACATCAAATATAGGTACGGGGTGGGGACGGCAGCTTCCTCCTGGGCCCTCGGGTGTTGGGGGGGTGGGATGGTTCACCATGGAAAACAGTGAAGGTGCGGCGTCCGTGCGTCCTTGTTCTTTGGTTTGTTTGACCTTGGAGTGTTCTGCTTATGGGGAGAACCGCTTTGATCCCTTCCTAGAATGCACAGCACCCAGAAAGCCGGCAGAGGAAAGGTCATTCCTACTTTCCCCAAATGCGGATGCTGGAGAAATCTGCTTTGCGTGAAGAAAAGGAGGGCTGAATGTCAGACAGTGAGCTTGTCACGCACTGCCTGTGGCAGTCTGGTCCTGACAACCACCTGCCCCACACACTGCCCACAAACAGACACTTCTCTTCCAGCCTCTCTGAAACTGATGGCTGAGAGTGAGGAGTGGGGCGGGGCTTATTCCTTGGGTGGAATTTACTGATGAGCTCCAAGGGCAGGCATGTGACCTAAAGGGAGCCTGTAGGAAAGTCAGAATGACTTTGTGACTTCAGGATCGTAGTTTGGTTTTTGGATCCTTTCGGAGCATGACTTTCAGGTATATGAGATCTCAGTGTAAGGCTGGGGGTGAGAGTAGATGAAAGATGAGCGCTCAGAGTCTCAGAGAAGAGGAAGTTGTTTGCCCGGGTTTACAGTTACTGCCAGCAAAGGGGAGATCCGAGCCCAGGCTGGACCCAATCCTGATTTTTCCCCGGAGAGTTCTCCAGAGAAACAGAAGCAGTAGTATATATATATCTACGTACAGAAAGAGTTATTATAAAGGTCCAAGTCTGAAGGTCTGAGAATGAGGAGAGCTGGGGATGTAAGTCCAAGTCCAAATGAGGGTGAAGACCAGTGTCCCAGCTTGAAAACAGTCCGCAGGGGGAGTAAATTCTCTCTTTCCCACCTTATGTTCTGTTCTGGCCTCCACCTGATTGGACGAGGCCCACCCACACCAGAGAGGGCAATCTGCCTCACTTAGTCTACTGAGAAAATTGTTACTCTTCTCCAGAAACACCCTCACACTCAGAATGTTTGGCCAAATGTCAGGGCGCCCTGTGACTCTGCCAAGTTGACGCGTCAGATTGACCAGCACATGCAGCTTTTCCATTCCTGAGAAGGCAGGTCAGGTCTTCCACAACCTCTCCTGACTTGTTCTTTGCCAGCACAGCCTGGGCTGTTTTTGGCCCTTCTTTATAAATCAGTTGTCAGATTCAACAAAACGATGTCTGGGATTTTGACTCCATGCATCAGTTTTGGGGGAAATCAGCCCCTTGGTAAGAATCCTTCCAGTTCATGAATATGGGATGACTTTCCATTTATTTAGATATTAAAAAAAAAAGCCTTTTAGTACTTTCAAAAATATCTCCATAAATGTTTTATAAGTTTATGTTACATATATTCCCAGGTGTTTTAGATACATATATGTGTGTATTTTTAACTTAAAAAATGCTGTTTTCTTGGGGTGCCTAGGTGGCTCAGTCAGTTGCTTAACTTTAGCTCTGACTTTGGCTCAGGCCATGATCTCATGGATTGTGAGTTTGGGTCCCATGTCAGGCCCTCTGCTGTCAGAATGGATCCTGCTTCAGATCTTCCTTCCCTCGCTCTCTGCCCCTCCCCCACTCATGCACATGCTCTCTCTCTATCTTTCTCTCAAGTAAACATTAAAAAAAAAAATCACACCTAAATTTTATTAAGAATACACAAACATTAAAGCATGGATTGCTTATAGTAGGTAGCAGAGCAAAACCATTAGCTGTATATTTGCATGTTAGGTAAATAGCAGCCCTTTGAGTGGAATCAGAACAGTCAGTGATATCCATCCACACCATCACATAATATACACGTAAGAAAATTCCTGATCGTTCTGGTCTTTATTGCTCAGCCATTTCATCTGTCTCACATTCAACGCACAGAAATAAAACATAACGTGAAGACAACTCTGTCCTCGTTATTAGTCACAATGAAAAGGGTCTGCCGTGTCCCGTAGGCCTGGAGGTATTATATGCGGTAGGGAGCTCTTGTGGGCTTACGGGGCTCAATGTGCTGTTTTGATTCTGAGACACTTAAATAGAATCTTATCTGTACTTAGTGACTGAAATAGCTGCGGAAGCCTGAGATCTCACTAAATAGGAAAAGACCCTAACAAAGAAATGTAACAATCAATCTGTTTAGATAGCCTATCTTTAGGCTCGTACTTTAGTGTAAGGTAGAAAAAGGGGCCTTTCTTTCTTTCTTTCTTTCTTTCTTTCTTTCTTTCTTCCTTTCTTCCTTTCTTCCTTTCTTCCTTTCTTCCTTTCTTCCTTTCTTCCTTTCTTCCTTTCTTCCTTTCTTCCTTTCTTCCTTTCTTTCTAAACATTTTTAAAAAATGTTTGAGATAGAGAAGGAGAGAGGGAGTGGGGGAGAGGCAGAGAGAAGAAGGAGAGAATCCCAAGCAGGCTCTGCACTCTTAAGCGCAGAGCCCGATGTGGGGCTCAAACCCGTGAACTTCGACGTCATTACCTGAACCGAAACCAAGAGTCAGACGCTTGATTGATTGAGCCACCCAGGTGCCCCCAGAGGGGCCCTTTCTTGAGCACATGGACGCAAGTATTATTGTGGCTTAAAGACTGCTGGATTGGGATTGTGTCTGGTATCATGAAAAGAGGCTAAGTATTGAAACTGCTGTCAGATAAAGAAAATTCCACAGCTCGTTTTAGTTCTTCAAACAATGGAGCAAATGCATCTTCTAGGCTAACCGTACGTGCTGTGTGGACATTGGTCCTTTGTTAGCAGTTTTCAGGCACATCATAAGGCTGTGTTAGCCACCACCATCCTGTTCTGCATTGCCTTTCCAGTACTTACTGTCTCTCAACTGGATGCTTGTACTTTTTGACCGTCTTCACACAAGTCCCCTACCCCCAGTCCTCCTCTGGTAACTGAAAATCTGGTCTCTTTTTCTTATGATTTTGTTTGTCTGTTTGTTTTTGAGATTCCACATATGAGTAAGATCATGTAGTGTTTGTCTTTTGCTGTCTGGCATATTTCACTTAGCATAATGCCCTCAGGGTCCATCCATGTTGTTGCAAATGGCAGGATTTCCTTCTTTTTATGCTAATGATATTCCATTATGTGTATATGTATATATATATGTATATACATATACACATATGTGTATATACATATACACTACATTTTCTTTATCTGTTCACCTGGCGATGGACACATTGGTTGTTTCCATGTCTTGGTTTTCGTAAATAATGCCGCAGTAAACATAGGGAGACAAATATCTCTTTGGCATAGTGATTTTGCTTCTAGAAGCAGATGATTAAATTGAACCCCCTAGTAGGTGTTAGGTAACAGATAACACATTTATTTTTTTTTGTTTGTTTTTTAATTTTTAATGTTTATTTATTTTTGAGAGAGAGAGATTGAGAGGGAGAGAGAGAGAGAGAGCATGAGTGGGGCAGGCACAGGTAGGGAGGGAGACACAGAATCCGAAACAGGCTCCAGGCCCTGAGCTGTCAGCACAGAGCCCGACATGGGACTCAACCCACAAACTGTGAGGTTGTGACCTGAGCCGAAGTCAGATGCTTAACCAACTGAGCCACCCAGGCACCCCACATTTATTTCTTTTTGGAAGTCTGCGTATGCTCCCTGGTCTGTTGTAAGGGCAAGAGCTTCTAAGAAACTGGGTCTCAGTGCATTCTCTGGAGTCGTGTCGTGGGCCACTTTCATAATGGGCGGCTCCACCTTCATGTGACACAGCAGTACATGGGGCCCCTCAACGCACGGTGAGTTTTTAAAACAATATTCTTTTGTTTACTTTGAGAGAGAGAGCGCACGAGCAGGGGAGGGGCAGAGAGAGAGAGGGAGAGAGAGAAACCCAAGCAGGCCCACACTGTCAGCACAGAGCCCCACTCGGGGCTTGATCTCACAAACTGTGACATCATGACCTGAGCCAATATCAAGAGTCAGACGCTTAACCCACCGAGCCACCCAGGTGCCCTGCACATGGTGACTTTTAATACAGGAATCAGCTTAGGGCCCTCAGGCCTGAGGTGTCTCTCCGTCACCAGTTCCAGGCCAACCCACTGTGTTGGCCATCCTGCCCAGATCATCCGCCCTCATGAACGCCTGTGTTCCACGGCCCAGTCCTCATACCTGGGTAGCCTGGGTTTCTGCTTCCGGGGCTGCTGTCGCTGTGGGGGACAGCTTCGAAGAGAGCTTCCTCTGCAAGCCACTGTCACGTGATTTGTGACCATGTCTCAGATACCTTTTTAAAAATATAATTTTTTTTCACTTTTTGCTTATGGTGTCTAGAAATAGGGTTGTTTTTTTTTTTTTTTTAATACTGATTTTTAAAAAAAAAATCCAGCAGCCGTGCTATACTCTGGTTCATTCTGGTAGCACAAATGGGGGTTTGGGGGTTTTCTGTACAGGTATATCAAGCTGGAGTAGTAAGAGGCCTTCCCCTCCCAAATCCTTCAACATTTGATCTCTTTTTTTAGCCTTTTTTTAAAAATATTTTTTATTTATTTCTGAGAGAGAGAGAGAGAGAAACAGTGTGAACAGGGGAGGGTCAGAGAGAGAGGGAGACACAGAATCAGAAGCACTCTTTTTTTAGCCTTTTTGTACTCACTCTTGGCCTCTAAGTTTTATACGTTTTATATATATATAATTTTTTTTTTTTTTTTTTTTGAGAGAGAGAGCGAGCACAAGCAGGGGAGCAGCACAAGGAGAGGGAGAGAGAATCTTTAGCAGGCCCCACAGGTGTGGAGCCTGAGGCGGGGCTTGATCCCACAACCGTGAGATCACGACCTGAGTCAAAATCAAGAGTCAGATGCTTCACCGACTGAGCCATGCAGGCGCCCCTGCCTCTAAATCATTGTTAGGTAGAAGCGATGATAACAGACATTCTGTCTTATTCTTGACCTTATCGTATGCTTTCCACACTGACCACTAGGAGTGGTGGATGCTGTAGGGTTTTGTAGAATTTCTTTCCCGGGAAGGTTCTCTCTGTTCCTAGTTTGCTAATGTCAAATTTTACTTTAATGCCTTTTCTAGCTCTGTTGAGAGGGTCAGTCATACCGTTTGTTACCTTCCATCCGATAGGGTGGTTACATTGTGTTAGATTTTTCTGATATTAAACCAGCTTTGCATCTGTGCCACAAAATGAGCTCGATTGCCATTGTGTTATCCTGTCACCCACGTCGCTATGTCTACCTGGATGATGTTACTTAGGACTTTGTTTTCTGAGTGACCAGGATCCCTTTGTCCCTTTCTTACTTTGTAACGTTTTACTAGTAAGACACGTTTTCCTTATAAAGCAAGTTAGGGTGGGTTCCTTATTTTCCTTTTCTCTGGAACACTTTGTATCACATTAGAATCATTTGTTTGCTAAACATTTAGTAGAACGTGCTGAAACTCACTGGATCCTGATGTTTTCTTTGTGCAAAGAGTAAAACAACAACAACAAACTATTGATGTTCAGTTCTTTGAACAGTGATAGGACCACACAGACTTTGTTTCCTCTTGGGTTAGTTTTGAAATGGGTTGTATTTGGGGCGCCTGGGTGGCTTAGTCGGTTAAGCGTCCGACTTTCGCTTAGGTCATGATCTCGCGGTTCGTGGGTTCGAGCCCCACCTTGGGCTCTGTGCTGACTACCAGCTCAGAGCCTGGAGCCTGTTTCGGAGTCAGTGACTCCCTCTCTCTCTGACCCTCCCCTGCTCACGCTGTCTCTCTCTCTCTTTCCTAGAAATAAATAAAACATTAAAAAAATTAAAAAAAAAAAAGAAATGGGTTGTATTTCTGGGATTTTTTCCCACTTCATCCAAGTTTTCAAATTATTGTCCTAAGTTGCTCACAGCATTCTCTTACTATCTTTTTAAGCTTTGTAATGTGTAGACATGGTCCCTTTTCCATTCTTTTCATTCTTTTTTTTTTTTTTAGTAGGCTCCATGCCCAGCATGGGGCTTGAACTCATGACCCTGCGATCAAGATCTTAGCTGAGATCAAGAGTCAGACACTTAACCAGCTGAGCCCCCCCTCCGCCCCCATGCGTCCCAGGGTTTACTCTGTAACAATCTACTTTAGCCACCTCCCACAGGCTGTCCTCATCACCAGGCACTAGCCTTCGGTCTGTTGAACTTCAAGTAGCTCCTGGTTGAAAGAATACCAGGATGTGAGTGGACTTGGAGCTGGGTCACCAGACACAAGACTGCTCTAGTCCTCAGGCCCAGAGATGACCGACCCTATAGGAAGACCGAGTAACACTTTCCTCATTGCAGGTGTAATGGATGCTGTAGCCATTACAGGCAAGAGAAAGGAAAAATAAAATTACTGTAATCTCACTGCTTAACGGTAACCACTAGAGTGTGTGTGAGTACATGTCTGTGAATTTTCTTTTTTGTAGAAGTAGGACCGTGTTACACATGCTGTTTCGGAACAGTTTTCCGCCTGGACGACACGTTACAAACAACTTTATAGGTCAATAAGTTCGAAAGAACACGAATTTTAAGGCCAGTTTCATGTTCGGGTTAGTGTTTTTTGAGGACTTCTCTGTCTGTGCCTGATAATCTCTTCACAGGTACTTGTCTTTCCCGTTTAGACATAGCTCAGCGAAATATTGGGGTTCCCTCTGGGAAACAGACTGCATTTAAATTGATGCAGCTGCATTGTGACCGTGGGTTATGTGACCATGGGTTATGCATTCCGTGGACATGCGTTTCCAGTTCTGTCCTTAAAAAGGCCAATTAGAAGAAAGAAAGGATGGCTCACTGGAGCACAGAGAACCCTCGGGTTTTGAAATGGTCCCATGTTTCCAAAAGCGTTTGAATCATGGGCTGGGTTGTGTGCTTTGAACTTGGTTGGCCTGGCAGACAGCTGTGGCTGATGTTCCGGGTCTCCGTGCGCCCCTGCTTTACTGCAGGGGACTCCTGTGACACCCTTTGGGTGTCCGCATATGATGAGGCAGGTGCTGTCCTTCCTCCCGGTTGTTTGTAAGGCGGTAATGGCGCCTGTGACACGTGGGCGGCCGGGGCCACTCCTCCCAGCCATGCTTGTGTGCTGCGTCCCTCTGTTTCTCAGGTTTGCAAAAGATGTGGCCTCTGGGAATATGGCCACATATTCTAGAAGTGCCTACCTCCCGCCCTCTTGTAGATGGGGCTTCCTGTGGGACTCTCATTAGAAACCTGTGAACTTTCTGCGGGGGTACCAGGCGCCGTGCTTGGCATCTTGTCTCTGCAACAAAGGCCATTAGGAGGCTGTTTGCAGCAAGAGGTCCCTGGAGGCCAGGCTGGAGCAGAAGAAGGCAGACTGACTTGCAGCTGCTAAGCACAGAGTCATGACTTCTTTTTGTAATTAAAAAAATGTTTTTGAGAGAGAGGAGAGAAAGTGAGTTGGGGAGGGGCAGAGAGAGAGGGAGACACAGAATCTGAAGCTCCAGGCTCTGGACTGTCAGCACAGAGCCCGACACGGGGCTGAAACTCACGAACTGTGAGATCATGACCTGAGCCAAAGTCCGACGCTTAACCAGCTGAGCCTCCCAGGTGCTCCCCCTTTTTTTTCTTGAAGTTTTATTAAGAAATAATTTCAAACTTAAACAAGTTGTAAAACCAAAAATAGTATGCTCTTTACCCAGATTTTCCTGGTATAATGTTTTGCCTCAGCTGCCTTATGATGGCTCTGTGTGTGTCTACACAGAAGTTTTTACCCCCCTGAACCATTTGAAGGTAAGTTACATATATCATGTCCCTTTCCGGAAAATACTTAAGTGTATATTTCCTAAAAGTAGGATGTTTGTATCTTTTAGAAAATAGTTATAACCTGGGAATGATAATATTTATAATTGGGGTCATGTAACATTATGAAAAGCGGTTCATTATTTTGTAAATTCTCTTAAATTCCCACTATTATTATATGTGTGATTTTGTGATGCCCATGATCAAACATGAACAGAGGACAGTGGTGCCTCTGACCTCACAGATTTTCCCCTCCTCTCCTGAGTTTCTTTGGATGATGTCTTGAGTGGATTTAGTTTCCAGGCTTTCTTTCTCTCACTGCACACATGTTTCTTGCGCCCCCTACGCTGCCCAGCACTGGGCTTGGTGCTGGGGCTTTAAAGGTGAGTGAGCTCACACAGGGGTCTTGCCTGCATGGAGCTCCCCGCCTAAGCAAGAGCCAGACCTGAACCAGATAATCGCATAAACCAGGGATTCGCAAACTATGGCCCAGGGGCTGAATCTGGCTGTCTGCCTGTTTGTGTATGGCTCGTGAGCCAAGAGTGATTTTTACTGGTTGAGAAAGAATTATAAGGCGGCTACCATTTCATGACCTGTAAAGATATGCAAATCAAATGTCAGTCCACCAATAAAGTTTTTTGGAACACAGCCATGCTCAAGCATTTTCCTTTTTTTTCTTTTTTTAATGTTTTATTTATTTTTGAGAGAGAGAGAATGTGAGCAGGGGAGGGTCAGAGAGAGAGGGAGACACAGAATCCGAAGACAGGCTCCAGGCTCTGAGCTGTCAGCACAGAGACTGATGTGGGGCTCGAACCCATGAACTATGACATCATGACCTGAGTCGAAGCCGGATGCCCAACCGACTGAGCCACCCGGGCACCCCCTCAGGCATTTTCCTATTATCCACAGAGGTTTTTGCTCCACAGGGGCAGAGTTGAGTAGTTGCCACAGAGAATGTTGGGCCCACAAAGTCAAAAATATTTACCCTCTGGACTTCTGCAGAAAAATTTTGTGGAGCCCTGGCGTAAACACTGGTAGAAGTGCTAGGAAGGAGGAATGCAAGGAGAAATGAAGTTCTGTACTAGGGGGTCTGCATGGGGAGCTAGGATCCTGAGTGAGGAGCTGAAGGGAGGGGAGGAGTTACCTTCCAGATAGCATGTTCAAAGGTCCTGTGGTTGGGTTAAGTGTGGCTTCCAGGATGGAGACCGTTAGTGTCAGAATGGATGCAGGGCTCTGCTGAGGGCACTGACTCGTTCTTCCTTTTCTTTTAGGTAAAATCTGTATCCAGCATGTTGGCATCCTGTGGAACAATGGTCAGCTGCAGCCTGGGGCGTGAAGGATCTGGAAGCTCTCTCTTCTTAGATGTTGAAACCAAAACAAACATTATTTATGAAACTCTGGTGCAGTTGTGTGTGTCGAACATCCGCTCAGAACATCACTGCAGGAGAGTCGCCTCTACTACCCTCTGGGTGCCTCTTTCAAATGTCACCCCTTCTTCCTCAAGAGGGCTTTTTCCTTGCTACGGGGCACGGGATAGAAACATTTTGATCTAAACAAAAAAACTAATTTTAAGGCAACTGTTGACAAAAGTAAAGAGATCAGAAGTTAACAGGAACCTGAAAAAAAAAAAAAGCCTAAAGGATATTCAGCTTCTAATTTCTGATATTCTGCTCTCCTGGATCTACGACATTCTAGATGTCTGACCCTTCTGTGGTCTTTTTGGGCTTGGCCAAGTTCTGGCCTTCTTTTGGTGACGGCCGTGTGCAAGTTCAAAGTTGAAATGTTCAGAGCCAGCCAGCCGTAGCCGAAATATACTGGTGTTTGTGGCTCTTTTTCTCTCCGTTTTCAAAAAAGGGTTCAGCAGAATTAGACGTAGCTAGTTCAACAAAGAATTTTGCCTATCAGGGAAAAGCCTGTATGTATGTGCGGGTATGTGTGTGTGCGTGTGTGCGTGCCCGTGTGTGCACATGTGAAATACCTTCTCCCTTTCTGGGGGGAAAGACTGCACGAGGCAGCCTTTGGTTAACTCCCCCCCGCCGCCTGGTGTGTTTCTCTGCCCTGTTCTTCACTGCTGGGGCTTGGAAATGGAATTTTAGAGAATCACGGTGGTGATTCAGGTGGACAGGGTTTAGCTGGCTGAAAATGACCATGTTTAGAGTTGTTCTAGGCCAGGCTGGACCGGAAACCCACCGGGACCCAGGACGTGGCAGCAGGCAGGCCCCTTCTGAGGTGTGGGTCGGGGGTTTCGGGAAGGCTGGCTTGTTTTCAGAGCTCGTGTGCCCAGATGTCTGCTGGCTTCCGGAAGCAGGGCCTGGGGCTCATTTCTCCGGTGGATGGAGGCCTCCCCGAGGTTGCGATTAGCTGCTATAGCAGTGCCTTTGGGGCCCTGGGACTCCGTTCTCTCCAGAAGGGGGGTTTGCATTGTGTTTTTTTTTTTTTATCCTCCCTTTTCTGGCATCCTTCAGGGTTTGGGCATCCCGCCTCCTGGTGGCCTGCACCCCTGCTGTGGATGAAAACTCCGCAGCCTTCTCTGACTTGCCCGTTCTCAGGCTCACCAGTTTCTGAGAAGGGCCGTCAGCACTGCAGGGTCCACGGGTTCCCGAGGCATATGGCCCCTGCAGGAAGGAGGGGGGTGTCTGGGGCGGCTGCCTGGGGGAGGCGGCCATGCAGAGCATACCTGTACAGCCCTGCTGTGCCTCTGTTCCCTCTGTCTCGCGTCCTTTGTTGACTTTCCTCCTGCCCCGCCCTGCTTGGCCCCCTGGGCGGGCCTCCCCTGCACAGGGCACCTGCGGGCCGGAGGGGTGACTCAGTGGGACCGGCTGCCCAGCATCTGGGCGCCCTCTGAACCTTGGACCTGGAATCCTGTACGGAGAAGCTGGAGTCATCTGTCTTACGCAAAAACACTGGTGCCGCCCGCCAGGTGCCTTCCCCCCGGACCTGGCCGACGTGGCTGCTGAGTGACCTTCCCGATTCCGGAGCTTCAGCGCTACGGGCTCTTAAATAAAACAAACAAAAAACAAACCCTTTCTGCGTGACCCACGTGTGCGTCCGTTTGGATGTTTTCTGAGACGGAGGCCAGCGTGGTGCCTTCTGGTGATCAGGGGTGCGGGTACAAGGCTTGGAGGGGCGCAGGGGGAGGCACCAGGTCCGGGCTGTTTAGGGAACAGCCTAGAAAGGAAATGGTGCTGGGGGAGAGGGGGCCGTTTCCCTACGTCCGTGTAGGCACATCTGATCACTTCCTGGACGCTGCTGCATTGGCAAGGAAAGACTCAAGGTTTTTGGAAAATCTTGGGGGTTTCTCCAGAGAAGAGAGTGTTCCTGAGTGCTGGCTTCTCATTGCCTCCTACCTGCCTGGCTTGGCTTATGTCCGGGAGAAACCGAAAGGGGCCAAGCCCAGGCTGGGTGCGCCGCCCAGCGAATGCCAGGAAGGAGGGCTCCTGTTTGCTTCCATCCTCTCTGGTGTCTCTGCAAGTTCTGGAGGAGGACCAGCTTGGTGGGCGGTGCTCTACCCTTAACTCTTCCCAGCAAAGCATCCCCTGTTCGTCCCTCTCTTGCAGCTGCAGTCATCCCGGGTGACTCTTTCTCCCAGCAGGGCTGCAGGGAAGCAAGCCCCCCACCATGGGAAGGTCCCATCGAGGAGGGTCTCCTGCGGGGTAGGGTCCTTCGGACACCCAGGGCAGGGCCAGGCTGGGGGAGCGGAGAGGAAGCATGTTCCAGAGTTGACAGGGGTCCCCCAGGATTGGCAGATCATCTATTTTGGGGCATTCAGTTGGGGATCAACCCCAAGGGTGCCCCCTTCTACACAAAACCCACCCTTCCTGGTGTGCCATTCGTACCTACAGAAGGCCTGAAAGGAGAGAGGATCAGCCCCTTCCCTGTACTGTCCATGTGTGCTCTCCTGAGCGTAGTCATGCCATGGCTAGTCTCAGGTTGCATGGGGCTGCGGGAGACATTGGAGGCATTGCTGCAAAGTGACATGTTATGAGGAATTGACACATTGTCCCTGAAAGTCTTGTCTCCCCTCCCTGCCCCATCCAGTGGGATTCCTGTGTCTGGATGCCATTTAAGTGGGATCAGGGGGGAGATGATCCGGAAGAGCAAGGTCCAAGGGACACCATGTGCCCACGCCCCAGACCTGCCGGTGAGACTGTGACAACCATTTCAGCAGACTAGACATTGGTGGTGTCATTTCCTGAAGAGGGAAGAGGAGGGGAGGAGGGAAGGGGAGGGAAAGGGGAGGGCAGGGGAGAGGAAGGGACTCCGCACCGGGAGAGCATGGTAGCGCCCGGAGCCTCCTCTGTGAGGATGCCATGCTGCCTCCCGGCCCAGCCTCCTGCAGCCACCACCCCCTGCACACCTCTTTCCAGAGCAGCAGACTCAGGAATTTGCAGGACCCGATATTGCTTACATTTCTCACCACTAACAGTTCCCTGGGTCTCTTGGGGTTAAGTCTTGTCTTAGGCAATTAGGTGGTTTCATCCTATGAGGGCGGGGGCGAGTGAGCTCCGGGGCCTGGGAGGCGTCTGCCGCAAGCCACCCAGTGCAGATAAAGGGTCTCCCCCAGCAAGGTCCCCGGATGGCTCCAGCTGAGACAGGTGGGGACAGGGCTGACCTTGAGCCTGACCGTGCTGGCATCTTGAAACATTCTTGTGGTTTTATGAGTCCACTCAGGAACACTTGATGTGGACTCAAGGGCACACGGCACACAGCTAATGAGCACAGGGTTTATTTTGCATGATTTTGGGGAACCAGCCAGACTCTGAGGTTGACGTGAGCCATGCCCCTCTATTGTTCAGTCTTTGGCCCACCAAGTAGCTGGCTGTGGGTCTCCTTGTAAAGTGGACTCAGAATGAGCAGAGGTGAGGGGTGCCTGGGTGGCCCAGTCAGCTAAGTGTACCAGTCTTGGTGTAGACTCAGGTCATGATCTCACAGGTTCATGGGTTCGAGCCCCGCGTCGGGCTCTGCACTGACCGTGCTGAGCCTGCTTGGGATTCTCTCTCTCCTCTCTCTCTGCCCTCCCCCGCTCACATGGTCTCCATATCTCTCAAAACAAATAAACTTAAAGAAAATGTGCTGAGGTGAGACACTGTGTTAGGTCTTCTCCGGGTGTGGTTGGTAGGCGTATCTGCGAGCTCTGTTCTCCTGGGGGTGGGCTTTCCAGGAGCTACACAGTCAGGATGGGAAGACGGAAAGCTCTAGCGTGTTGGCTGCAGTGTTTAACCTCCAACTTGTCCTGGGAGCTGGGGGAGGCAGGTGGGAGTGTGGGGAGCTCTCCCCTAAGTCTGCGGGAAGACCAGCTGAGGTGCTGAGCATGGTCAGAGTGGGGTAGCGGGGGAAGGATCGAGAGGCAGGTGGCCGGACCCGCATGCGATTCCTGACCTGGCTGCCTACCAGGTCTGGGACCCCGGCCTCACTGCTCTCAATGGCCGTATGGGAGCAAGCCTCCTCTGGTTACTGTGATCGCTCAAAGGAATAACCTGGCAAAGTGCATGCTGCACATGCCTGGCACAGAGTCACTCAGGAAATTGTCGCTGCTGCCACCAGAAGCGTTCGAATCCCTCCTGTGGGCCAGGTGTGTTCATATCCACGGTCTTGTTCAGCTCTTGGGAGAGTCTTTTCCTCAGGTGTCCTTCTTGGAACCCACTAGGGGTCCACTGTGGTTCCCACGGAGAGCTGCATCTCCTCCTCCCGGGCTCCCCTTGGGAAAACACGTCTCCTGCTGGCCTAGCGCTCTAACAGCCTGGGAATCCAGCCAACCACGTGGGGAGGCTGGGGATGCTCTTGGTCTCCTAGAGAACCAGGATCAGGAAGGTTTTGTCACTGTGTGGGGTCTGCTGGTTAAAGGGGATGGGACAGGTCTTGGGCTGTGTGTCCCTTGCTCTCGAGCACTTTCCCCTGAGGTAAGGAGGCAGGGAGGTCCTCTTCAGAGACCATAGCAGCTTACTTGTGGGATGGCCTAAGATATCTGAGCTCTGGCTCAAGGACACTGGAGGTCACACATCCCAAAAGGCACCCACACTCTAGAGGGCCCCATTCTGTCTGTGGCCTCTTCATGGTGCCCTTGAGCTTCCCTTTTCAGATCTCACACTAGAACTCTCTGTCTGCATGTCCCTGGCACCCTGGTATCATGCCTGGGCCCTGGGTGTGCCCTACACCTTGGCTGGAGAGCGGCGAGGGATAGGGGTGTGGGGGCTGGGGTGTCCGGAGGCATGTGCGAGGCCCCTCCCCATGGGGACCAGGCAGGGATGCAAGAGGAGGGGTACAGGCTGCGGGTCGGAGCCTCTGCTGAAATCCTGACCTGGCGCAGCATGCGTCGGCAGTGGGTGGGGACCGGACGTTGGCTGCGCATTGGGGAAAACAGCATGTGTGGTGTCCATCCTAGTTGTGAGTGTTGTACAACGTGAGAATCGATGGTGGAGAGGCAGGCAGAGGCCCACACATGATGACGAGCCCGCTCTGGGTGCCCGAGACGTTAGGATGGATCATTTGCCAGATTGGAGTCTGGTTCACAAGGGATCAGTCATGTCTCATTTTTGAAAATCAAAGATGTAGTAGGGACGTGCTTTAAAATTGCCACTGTTTTGAGATAGCGCTGTTTTTCTTTATAATGACTCACATTATAAGATGCGAGACCATTATCGATTCAACTTGACATCAACCCTTGTTTTCTGATGCCCTTGCTCTCTCTCCCAAGTCCCTTGAGGACTTGGTGGAGAGCCGTGTACTTTTCTTAATTTACTTGGAATTGCTATCCATGGAAATAATTGCTGGCATTTTCTGGAATAGAAGGGGAAGAACAACAGAGTTGTATGCTATGGAGATGGGATAATCTCATTTTCATCTGAAAGCTACCCCAGGGCCACATCGCTCTGCCTCGAGAATCAGTCCACGTTCACCCCTTGCTTGTGGAGAAGCTGTGAGGTTGAGGCCGATCAGCCTGGAGATGCCCAGTGCCTGTCTTGGACCCTTTGGCTGAAAAAAGTGTCAGCTGCCCACACCTTGTGTGTGTGTGTGTGTGTGTGTGTGTGTGTGTGTGTGTGAGAGAGAGAGAGAGAGAGAGAGAGAGACCGAGAGAGACAGAGAGAGACAGAGAGAGACAGAGAGAGGATTGAATGAGATAAGGTGCACATGGTGGGTGCGTGATAGTGGGATGTCACTGTATGACACATTCAGCAGGTGTTCAGGGAGCCACAAGGCATGATGCAGGGTCGGCTGGGCCACAGAGGTGAATGGTCCAGACACCCTTCTGTCTTGGAAGGCTGGTAGAGTAGAAGGAAGAGGTTTACACACAGAGCCCCATCTTGAGCATCCTCTGCTTTACCAATACATTAGCCCGACTAGAGTATGAGCTGCTATTGGCTGTGTTTTAAATAGCTTCAAGACACCGTCTTATGAGCTCAGGCTCTGGAGCCAGACTCGAGTCCTGGTTCTAATATTTACCACCCACGGGACCTTGGGGGCACTGCTCTTACCTTCCCATGAGCCCCTCTGCTCATCTGTAAAAGGGACACAATAATAGCACCCACCTCATAGGGGCCTTGCCGAGTGGGTGCGTTATTCACACTAGTGTGTTAATGTTCCCGGCACCACTCAAGTAGCTTCGGGTATCATTTCTCCTCTCCAAGCTGGGAACCTGAAGTATGGTCGTGGCCTTGCCCAGATCCAAAGCCCTGAGTGCTATGCACAGTGCTGCATCCCTACCCAGTGTTGGGTCTCAGTTCCAGCTCAGGGGACCATGTCCCAACCAAGCCATGCAGCCTGGAGCTCCTGCTGCAGCCAAACAGTTCCAGAAGCCCAGAGATGGTGTGGGCCATGAGGGCTCTCTTGAGGCTGTTCTCTTTCCCCCTGGGCAGGGCGTTTGTGGCAGCAGGTGCTCCGGGCTTGGGAGAGTGGGGTCCACAGATGTAACCCCTGTGCAGAGGGGAGATGGGAGAGCAGGGTTGGGGACCGGAGGCTGCAGAAGGGCCTTTCTTTAGCTGGAAAAATCCAGCTCCTCCTCTGGGATGACAAGAATGCTTTCC